GGGAGCCCCCAGCACAGGGCTTGGTACATCAAAGGAGCTCAAAAACGCAACTGGAATCTTCCCTGTTCTCCAACCCAACAGCACTCAAGTTGGCAAAAACCTTGAGGCCCCGACCGCTCGCAGCTATCACAGTCCCGGAAGACCTGGTGGCTGGGGACTGAGGAAGAAATTCTGAAGCCATCAGAATAAACTCTCACTCTACTGTGTACTTAGTGATTGGGCAGGACACACGACCACATAGGAGCTGGACTGCCATGTACTCTCTGGATGACAGGGGAAACTCTGAAGAAAACTACAGTCCCCAAAACTAAGTCAAGAGAAAACACACAATTAGATAAGAAGTAAAGACACAAACATTGATGTTAAAGACAAGTACAGTAGCTCTGAGTTACACCACCACAGGGCAGCCATATGACCGAAATACCTGAACCAAGAGGTCTTCCTTTGCCTGGGGACTTTTTTTTTTTCTTCAATAAAACAAGGAATGGTTTAGTGAGACTGGAGAAAGAGCTTCCCCTCTAGGCGCTATTTTGAAACTCCTACTCTTAATGGTCTGGTCAAAGGATGTCTAGTGATACAAGCACGTCATCTTCTAATCATTTTTCTACTGGAGATTTCTCAGCCTTCTTTAAATCTGGCACTGGCAGTCAACCAGCAGCTGACTGGTATGTTACCATGTGACACTGTAAATCATGTAGCATAGTTAGATTTTCTTTTCCTTCCAGTAATCCGGTGCTGGTGAAAAAAAAAAAAGCATAATTACTTTAATTATGTACTTCGAAAAGGGATTATCTACAACAAAGAATCACAGAGTAAAACTAATTAGAGAGTGTCTTGACTTATTACTATGAATTTTTCAGAGTCCAAATGCATTAATTTTAGCTGGTATCTGCAGGGGCTGTTTCCTATCATCTGTACAACTAGCGGAGAAGGCACAGGAGAAAGTCCGCCTGACCTTTCTATTATGAAAAGCAAATTTAACAGCGAAAACAAGGCAATTAAGATACAAATACAAGACTGATATTACTGTCTTATTCATTACAACAAATATTTATTGAGCAACTAATACACGTACCAGGCACTAGTGAATAATACCAGGCATTATCACTGCCCTCAAGGGCAAGCAAGAGATACTGGCCAGTAAGACAATCTACAATGACAAATTACGGTAAATATTGAGAAGAAAAAGATTATTATACTTTGAGGGAAAAAATACACTTACATGGTAAGAAGTGGCTTCTCAGAGAAAATCTTCCCAAGAATTGATATGTGTACCTCCCAAAGTTGGGAACTCAGTCCTGGAGATAGATGGTACTAACAGGGAACCACAGGAACAAGAAGATGCCCAAGGCCAGACGGCTGGAGATGTGGACACGATGGCTGCACGAGATGGGGGTCAGAGGACAAGGGCCAGACCACACAGGGCCCTGAGGACATAACTTGTATCTCACCCCAAGAATAAGTTAGTTTCCTGGGAGCCTCGAAGGCTTAAAAACAGCAAATGAAAGCAGGATGTGGTGTCTAACCTCTGAAATGCCAGCAGCCTGGAACACTGAGGCAGGAGAAAAACTTCGAGCCTAAGTGCAGCAACTGAACAACATGCTGTTTCAAAATTGAGAAAAAAAAATAGAGAGCGAGAAATAAAGGCTGAGAATGTAGTTCAGTACAAAATGCCTTGGGTTCAGTCCCCAGTACTGTAAGACAAATAAACAAAAATCCAAAGTGAAACAGGCAAACAAAAAAGCAAACGGCAAGGGACATTTCATTTTATTTTCCAGGCTGCTGGTGGGAAAACAGACTGGAAGAAGCAGGGCGTGGGCAGGAAGCCAATGAATCAGAGAAAGATAACAGTGGTATGAACTACGAGGAGGGACGCAGAATAGAAACTGAAAATCAGATAAGTTGGAAAGACAGCTGGCAGGAAAGATGGACAGACTTTGTGACAGCCGACTGGAGGGCTGGAAAGAATAGAAGGTGAGTGAAGTAAGTGATGCCATGGGTGAGTAAGCTCAAAATTAGAAGAATAACAGTTCGAAAAACTGGACAGTCACAAGCTCAGCTCCGGAAAAGACTGAGATTCTATCATCTACAGAGCGCCAGGCACTACCTGAGGGGTTCTAATCATCACAAAACTCACTTTTAATAGTGTCCCCATTTTACAGAATGCACATCACTGAGGCTGGGTAGTGCGCTGCAGCCTGCTCCCCTTGGGAGCAACATAGTAGCCAAGTAGCGCTGGTTGGCTACAGGGTGCACCCTCTTCCCAGTGTAGAGTACTTGGAAAAGTGTTTCTATATTTTGAATTTTTGTAACCTATTTTGGGCTGAGACAAGCTAGTATCTAAGGAGAGTAGAAGTAGTACATTATTTTAAAAATTTGAGTAGATTTATGATGCAGAGTACTTTCCTATCCATGTCCAGTTCCCATTCACTAACAGTTTTTGTACTGTTTCCAACACTAGCAAGGTATCTAGGATCTTAACATTTATAATAAATTAGCAAAGGCAATAGGCTGAGAGTTAACCATAATCAAAAAGAGCAACAATAGCATCTAGCAACAATAATTTTACAATAACTTACAATAATTTTAACCATCATATGCATTAGCATGAGAAGAATCAAATAATGAGTAAGAAACTGAAGGACTCAATGGTTCTCAAAATACAAGATATTCGAGTCAAAAAGTGGTACAAACCACCAATTCCATAAGGCTACAAACAGACAAGCACTGACTGTTCAAATTTAAAAGTTTCACCTTGGAAAAGTAAAAATGAATGGAAAAAAATGCCAACACACACACACACACACACACACACACACACAGTTCACATCTCCAACCTCCAAACACCGTAACCAAGTGCCAAATTCAGGAAACATGCACCTTAAACATGATTTTAAACATACTACTCTCTGCTACAGCTGCGTTTCCCTGCACCACACTGACACTTCTGCCAACTGAAATGCCTTTTCTATTATACAGTCCCATGAGATTTGCTCCCTCTAGGGGATCTCTAACGTCCCCCTGAGCTACTGAAGTCCAGAAATAAAGTTTAATCAATAAACTCACAAAGAATTCAACGTGTTACTGCCAATTGTGTCTATTACAGAAAGTACCATCTTGAAAACGGGGGGGGGGGTGAGAAAAAAGGGAGATTTTTGAAAGGTGTAATCACCTACATTCTAAAGTACATTTTGTTGCATCTGATCCTTCAATGGAACAACCATCACACAATTATTTTCCCTCTTCTTCAAGTAGGTGTATGGTCATATGTAATTCTGACAGTGTAAGGAGGGTTCCCCACGGAGGGGGATAAAATTAAAAGCACCGCTAAAATGCCCGCTAAATAAATAACACATAAACCATTTGCCAAACTAACCCAGTGCTGTGTCCTGCATCCCGATTCTCGCGCATCCCACGCCTCTCCCTGCAGAGGGCCGGAGGGCATTCATTCCTTAGTGCCTCATTCAGGTAAGGGACTGGTCATGCAAATCCCTTAAGATAGCTTCCCAGTTTCTGTTCCTTCAGAACGAGATCACACCTCCAGAAACTACAAACGGGAAGACTCTGTTAAAGCATGAAAGAAAACTACCTAGATACCCTACCGGAAAAAGTACTCCAGAGAGTACAGATCTATGCATATTTAAAGATGCTTCCCGGGGATGAAACAGATCTAATGATGAAGAATCGCTGAGCCACAACAAACTGGAAAATCCATCAATGTTCCCCCCTCCTGTCACCAGGCTGTGGGGATTTTTTCAAAAATGCAACGCTTTGATGTATTGGCAGAGCTAACCTGACAGGGTTAAGTCAGCTAGGAAACGTGCCCTGCATCTAGTTCCCTTCCAAATCCCTGACGATCAGAGGAGGCAATACTGACCTACAATTACACCCTACGGTCGCTCTGCTTAAGATACCATCTGATGCCGAGAAAGTAAGTAGTGGTTTAGCAACACCAGGAGGCTCTACGATGCTAAAACAACAACGCAACATTGGATTACGAACCTAGGTTTTGGATTATAAAAGCCAGGGCCCTACAAAGGTCCGCATTCAAAGCTCCCACCCCTTAAAAAAAAAGTTGAATCTTTTCAGGCTTCCAGCGATTCGCCCTCTCAAAGTTTCTAGTCTGCAGAACAGAATTACTTTCAAAGTCCCCTCTTACCAACTGCCCTCCCTAGGGGGGCTGGCGACCCGGCGGAATAGAGACGCAAGATGGTCAGAGTCCAAACACAATTTAAAAACCTACACTCCAATCGTTTTTTTTTTTTTTTTTTTTTTAAGAGGAAAAAAAAAAGCGTTTCCCCAACCGCCACCCAGCAGGCGAGCATCCGACTTCCATCTGGAGAGAAAAAACAAATCCCCACATACCTGCAAGAAGCCAGACACACGTCTCCCTTGCCCACAAAAGTGGCCTCTAAGTCCCTTGCCAAGGACACCGCGAGAAGCAGCGGAGCCACGAGCGCTTTTCGGTGCGAGCGCGCGGGTGCGGCGGGGAGCGGCGCTGGGTGACACCGGGGGAGGCGGCGCGGGG